GAATAAGGGCACTTTCACACCCCAACAGATAACTTCTCCTTAGTTTATCATCCTACAGTACATATGCTACAGAGGACATGGCAATGTCCTGCAGAAAAATCCTTCCCTATTATAATGAATTACTTTGCAAATGGCCTGAAAATAAATCAAATGTGGTGCACAGAAATTACCTAGTCACATTCTTTCATCACAATACTTATTAAAACCAGCCTCCTAACAAATGAACATTTTATCATCCACATGCTCAATAAAAATGAAATGTGCTGAATGCACACACACACTAACAGAGTAACCCTCTGCAGTCCTGCATGCTAACATTCTTCATTCGTAAAAGGCCAAAAGTATTTAACACAGGGAGGAGTAACAGGAAATGAATGAAAAAGAAAATAATGTTGTCCTCTATGGATAGCTTCCAATCTCAGTAAGGAGTATGGCCACGTTGATTGGCAGGTGACACAGCCAGTGTTTGGTAGGCCTCATGCACTACTCTGAATAATTAAAACTGGACCTCTTTCCTGAGTGTGTGCGTGCTGTTGGTGCCTTTCGGAGCATTTTTAATGAATAACCCTGGCTATTATCATGGCTTCTAAGCCATAATATTATGCTTCCTGTGGGTGGCTGTAGCTCAGGGGGTAGAGCTGGTCACCTACTGACCAGAAGGCTGGTGGCTCAATCCTAGTCTGTTCCAGTCTGCAAGATACTAACCCAAGTTTCTCTTCGATGCATCCATCAGAGCATGAATGGGTGTGAATGGGTGAAAGCACAAGTTATGTGAAGTGCTCAAGATAGAGTAGAAAAGCATTATATAAGAACCAGTCCATTTACCATATTGTTGGGGTCTCTAAACCGTTCAAACAATAAAACTCAATTTCCTATGACATAACTAAATATAGCACATTCCAAAAGGTCGATTCTGTTCATCTGGACGCAGCGTTTTCAGTGGGAGAAACGTTTCATCACTCATCCAAGTGACTTCTTCAGTCTCAGCTGAGCACAAAAAGTAATGACTTTTGTGTTTAGTCGATTACTTGTCACTGTTTTTGAGGGTAAAACCCACATACTAAACTCTGCTGCTCAACCCTACAAATGTGGCACCATTTAAGGGGACATAAGCAGACTTTCCAAACGTATAAGATTTAGATAAAGTAATAGCCAACCCCAACTCCACAACATGGGTTGGTTGCTAACATATTTTCAGAATAATTGACCCAAAGTTCCTATTATAAAACTGCTAATTTATGGAAAAAATGAAATTAAAGAATTTGGTCATTATGTTTAAACTGGTTGTGTGAACCCCCACCTCCCTTACTCGAATGTTCCCAGTCACAATGGACCAGTCAGTTTTAACAAGTCTTATATTAACATAACAAACATTTTTCACCACCAAATTCAGTTCAATGGGTAGTTCAGTGAGTCGTTCACTGAGTCATTCAGTGGGTCGTTCAGTTGGTTTCATTTATTTGGTCATTCACTGGGCCATTCAGGGGGTCAGAGGCCAAAGGGGGTGGGGGGTGGGTGGATTCCCATTCATTTCCTATAGTGGTCACTTTTGACTGGGAACACCACAAATGAAATAATGTTGATTAAATAGTTGATTTTAAATCAAATCCTTAGTCAGACTATACAATACATTATAAACACATATAATGTTAAATGATCCTGTCTTATACAGGATCATTTTATCGATTTACAGTGTTCAGGTCATGCTATTAATTGTCACAATGCTTGTATTTTTCAATCCGGTTGTTAAGTGATGACGTGATGATGTTTATATTATGCTAACATAACTGTGTCGCTAGCGGTCACGTAGCACATGCATATACCAGCTAGCCAAACTTCAGTAACCCTACAAACGTCACTGCTGTTTAGTTTTCTGTCTTCATTTATGTTGGAAGTGATAGCAGAGCTGTACGTTTTAATTTGTTTTCAAAACCCCGCAGTCAGGACATGCTATATTGTATTTAGATAGAAGCTAGCGAGCTAACTTCCTGCTAACTTCTAACTCCGTTAAATGTCATAAATTCCGTTTTCATGGATGCCTGGATGTTAAACTCAATTGTTACACCTGGTAGAGCAGAACGCTGATCATTTTATTAAAGATGAAAGACTTTAGACAGTTTTTCAACTCTCAGTAATGCCATAGTGATCGTTTGATATATGGACCTGCAGCGGAGTTTAGGCCCAGACACGGCTAGTGACGTCAGACTGAACAACCGGATAGTGTAGCCACTGCACATGTAACTCTGTATCTCTAAGCCCTTCAGGCCACCAGTGTCTGGTTCTGTTGCTGCCTCGTGCTACACACATCCTTAAAAAAAAAAAACAGCTCACGTGTACCAGCAATAGATTATTTATCTCTCAGTCCCATATGAAAGGCTTTGACCAGCTAAATATAACTGAGTCAGCGACGTTGCGGTCTACCATCTGTGTAACTACCACGTACTGTCATTCAAACTACAGCCACATTTTTGTGTCTTTCTTTTTCAATGCTATAACTTTTGTCAATGTAAATAAATACCATAGAAATGTTATTTCTAAATCTTTGAAACAAAAACATTACCAACAAAGAAACATCTCAAATCAAAGCAGCTGACACAGGTGGCCAGAAAGAATTTATAAGGTCCTGCGAGGGAGCTGAGCGAGCTCAGGGTGAAGGATGGTGGTGATGGGTGGGAGACTGCTGTGAGCGGATGTTTGCCATGGGAGGAGTGTTTGACTCCTATTCCAGACACATCCTGGACTCACTAGTTCTGTGCCTGCTCTGACACCAAGGGACATGTGGCTGTTTTTTCCATACACATGTGACATGACTGGTATTTAGAATGGGACAGAGAAAGTGCAGGCAACTTTGTACAACTATACATCAGGAAGGCAGTCTTAAATGACTGTAATAAATGAATAGATGAATGTGGTATTTAAAATTATTTATGAGGTACTACGAATGTTAGTTCAAGCATATGCAATTTACATCAAAAACATCGTCAACATAATGTTTCTAGACTCTCAGGAATAAACGTCCAATAAGAAGATGCCAATGTGTCCGCAGACACTCGACAACACTCTTCAAAAGGTGCGACTTTTATTTCAAAGGCAAACTACTGTTACTTCTCCTGTTTCCAGTTTAGGACACACTTTCACAGTTTCACTACGACTTGGAGAGCAGTTGGTGAGTGTTTGCAGACATGTCAGTGTCATCCATTAAAACTACAGTGAATACAGTGTCAAAGGTTTTGACAACAAGTTGTATCACATCAATACAACTGGCAGAAACCTCAAACAAATATGTGCATGATGTCAAAGAAACCAGAACAGTTATGTTAGAAATAAAGTATATATTTCTGCATTAATGTAATGCAAAGAATCTCTGTGAAGGATGTTTTCATGATGTTAGCATGTAGCAGGCATTCATAAATAGGTCGGCTTTTCCCATACATGTTGCAGGTAACATTTCCCAGATGATTCTGCATAAATCCAGTAAAACAGGCCCACTGGATTATTACTTCTAATGGATTTCAATAAAATACTTTGCTATTGGCTGTTTAGTAATACAGTGGAACCCCGACTCGTTCCAGAGGGTCTTTCGTAAGTCAAAATTTTCGAAGCACCTTTTTCCATCGCCTTTTGAGTGAGGCGATGCTGGCTGAAGACGAAGTTCTTGGTGGAGGCTGAAGAAAGTATACATATGCATGCATACATACGTACGTGTACATGTACATAACATTATGGAATTTAATTCTAAACATACTAAAACTTACATTTATGTTAATTAATGTACGTATGTACACTGTGCAATGATATTTCATATTTATGCCTTATGCCGGCCCCATTATGAATGAACGATAGGCTAATTGCAAACGAAAAGCACACGAAATAGCGCACTGCAACAACAATACGTCTTTCACGTGGAACAGCAAAACACATTTCTGAAACGGATACACGGGCATTTTGCCGTACCACGGGCAGAAATATTGCCGTTAAGTGCCTTCGTAACTTGAATTTTTTATTAAATGGTGTCTTCGTAAGCCGGGGTTCCACTGTACCAGCATTGCTACACAGGAGTGAAACATATAGAATGTCAAAAGTGCCTTGAAAGATCAACATTGTCTTTGAATCATAAAGAGACAAAGTACTACTAATATAATTTACATGTTACGATATGCTAAGATATTTCAGGTTATTTATCTTTTATTTTTGGAAATTGATTGTTTATTAAATGTGAGTGCTGCATGGATGTCAAAGTACTTAATTACATTTAAAAAAGACAATTTTCAGTATAGTATATACAAGTATATCTTACCCATGAAATAAAATGGGTTTTAGAGCTGTGGTGTAAACCGACTAAAGTTATTAAAAAGGGGAAGTGATTAATCTTACATATCTCTACTGCCAAGGTCAATTTGCTACAATGTAATGGAAAATGTTAAGTTCAGAAAGATGACACCAGTAAGGAGCAAAGCAGTTATGAAAAATTCCTCCTCTTTAGGACAAGAAACAAAGTTGCTCAAAATGTTCCTACTGCTTCAGAAGTTTACTTTTACTATTTGATTCATGATAATAATGTTTTTTTTAAGTTACAAGGCTGTCATTAGAAACAGAATGAAACAGAACGTTTTTACACTTGGCTGAGGTAGACATGGTAAATGGTAAATGGCCTGCATTTGTATAGCGCTTTTCTAGTCTCTAAGGACCCCAAAGCGCTTCACACTACATTCACACACTGGCGATGGCAAGCTACATTGTAGCCACAGCTGCCCTGGGGCGCACTGACAGAGGCGAGGCTGTGTGACATGAGACACATCTACATTTTTGCCAGGTCTAAAATTTATTTTGTACAAGCTTTTTGTTAGTTTAACCCCAATTTTAATCCAAGTTTCATATGGAAATTGTACTAAAAAATCCATGCTGCCGTTTATGTTTGTATGCTAAAAAAAAGCACAAATTAGGATCCAGAAGAAAACATGCATAGCAAGGCTTGTGTAATCTTTTTTTTTTTTACTCACCCTCCTCGGGTTTGATGGGTAAAACAGGGCGATCTTCCTCAATCTCTTTCACTCCTTCCTTTTCCTCCTGTCTTCCTTCACTGTGACGGTTAATCACCATCTGATTTGGCTCTCCACCAGGCTGACTTTCTTCCAGTGTAACTCTCATTGGTGGCTGGGTGGTGGTGATAGACTGGAATACAGGTGTTGTCAGGGATTCAGGCCGCCTTTGGGAAGGAGTGACGGGCTCAGAAGTAGTCTTTTCATAAATGCTGGTTGGAAAGCTGCTCTCTGAGTCCTCCTCGCTTCTCTCTTGCACTGTGTCGATAGTGTAAGGCATATCCTTTCCTTCAGGCCCAGACACATTCTGAAAAGTTACTATTTCTTCCTGCTTCTCCCCCTGCATCTCTTCCTCATTCAACCTTTCCTTCTCATAAACTGTGAGTAGCTTCTGCGTTTCCTTTGGACCATTTGAATTTGCCTCAGGATGGATGGGAACCTCTGAGCTTTCCATGGTGTACAGTGGAAAATGTACTGTATCTGATCCTCTCTCTTGACTGGATTGGATCTCTGTACCCCTCTGTGGAAGACTCACATTGGTCTGACTGATAGAACCCCTCAGTGCCACGCTATCTGATGTATTTTTGTTATGTGCCTTAGTTTCAGTGCCTCTCTGAGGATAAATGGCACTTTCTGAACCCGCATGTGGATACTCAGTATGTTTTTCACTCTCTAATTCTCTGTGTAATGGAAATACGACACTACCCAAACTCTTGTGGCCATGCAATGAATCGTCTAAATCTGTCTGTGGACGTAAATTATTAAAAAGGACACCTTGCAAACTTGTTAGACCCTGCGAGAACTGCCAAGAAGATGTGGCACGCATATTTGGCATGTCAGTAGTCTGCTCTAGTCTCAGGGGACTTTCTGTCACTTCTTCTCTGCCTGAAGGATGGTCACGAACTCCATATCGTTCTCTCAGCGCCTGCTTGCCTTGCCTGTCAAAGCTCTGAAGAGAAGAGATGCGGTCAGGTTTGACAGAGCCTTGGGACACAGATAGAACTTTTTTAAAGGAAGAGGAAGATGGGGTGGGAAACAGCAAAGACTGTGGGTAGGTCTCTGGAAAGTCTGTAGGACCATAATCATAGTCTTCTGGTTTCTCTTTATCAAGCGGTGACAATTTAAAGAGAGGAAGATTTCCATTAGGAAGGTGATAAGGAGTGGCAAATTGATCTGTGTGGCCTTGTTGATCAAACCTGTATGGGAAATTATCATGCCTGATGACTGTATTATCCTCTGTGGGTGCAGCTAACATGGGTTTATGAACTTGCTGCGGATCACAGTCTGGTACCGGGTAGCACATGAGCTTCCCCCCTTCATTAGGGCAGTGGCAAACACGGCAAGGGTCAATGTGGAAGGAGTATCCAGCCTCAAACTTTTGTCCAGCATGAACACATCCAACTCGTTCGCACTGCATGCAGCCATCTGCAGGCTCGGAAACCTCGATGCAGTTTGGTGGCATATCAGGACAGCTGATGAAGTGGCAGCTGATCCGGCCCCCTCCTACAGGACAGGAACACTCGGTGCTACCATAGTCAACAAAGTAGGAGTCTCCCTCGGGCACCTTGCCATTCTTGAACCCAGCACTGATGCAGTCGTAGTACTGGTATCCCTCGCACGCACATCCTTTTTGTAAGCACGAAGCACAACAGGCACCGCTCTCCAGGACTTCTTCGATACAGTTGTCCAGCAGGGGACAGTTTGTGCCAGTGCAATCAAGCTGGCACAAACAGACACTCGAGTAGAAAAAAAACAGCGCACACTGCAGTAGTACTACTTCAGCTTGAGCCATGGCACCTGGTATATGTTCAGTAATGATGAAGATCAAGTCTTTAGATTATCTTTAATGACTCATGCGAATCACCTCTGCTCTGCAAGAAACAGGGAAAAAAGACAGAAAGACAGGTTTATTTCTCAAAATGCAAGAAAATCAACCTCTGGCTTCCCAGTTTAGCGCATAAGAGTCCAATTTTTACAGCCTTGCCATCTTTTTAACATTAAGACTACATACTTGTCATTATCATCAGCTGGAGTGCACTGTTATGAATCATTATGCAGGCTGTGATGATGAAACCTGGAATCTGCCCAGCTTCTAAATTTATAGTGCATCTGTGATTATCTCCATAAAAACATTCCTCTCATAATCTTGTGTTGCAATCAACCTCTAGCAGTCTAATAGCTGAACATACATGAGATGCCTCATAACAGTCTGGCTGCTGAGTTTGTTGGAAAGTCATTACACTTTAAGAAAAGCACATTCTCTAAGGTAATTAGCAGGGTAGGGACCAAAGTGCTTGGCCTCCTTTAAATAATGATTCTTGTTGGAAGTTTCAGACTCAAAGTGATTTTATTTACTTTATTATTTCACTTCATCAGGAAGGAAAAAATCTTTCACTTATTTTACCATACAGAATGTGCCAAAAACCCATGCTGCCTTACACTACATGTTCTAACTTTGAGAGCGTTCCAAGAACTACATATTATGCTTTTGTAAAAATGCTTTTGGACTGATCTAATTCATCATCAGCGATACTAGGTACATTTTTCCCTGACCTTTAGGTCATCTCTGCAAATAAATACACCCTCCCTTCTTGGACTGACATTACGTTTCTAAGCACTGAATTCCACAGAGAATTCCTATGAACATTGTTGTCAGGAAAAAAAGAAATTCTGCTCCAAACAAGGACCCGCATCGTCTGTTAATCCCACCTGAGTCATGAGTAATACATCTGATGAGCAAAACAGCTCATGGCCTAAACAGATTTGAACTGCTTAGCTCATTATATGTTTTAAATTAAAAACTAATTTCTTTAATTTGTTTTGTTGTTTATTTGTTTGTTTGTTTGTTTGTTTTACCTCATGCCATAAATTCTCAATATAAAACTTTATAAATAAAAACACAAATCAAAATGTTGGCATTAAAGCCAGTGTCAAGAAACTATCAGAAGCATTTATCACTATGATTTTTCAAAAAAGTTCCCGGAGGTTTGGAGGAAATTCCTGTCAGAGCCTGCCATAAAGTGAATCACAATTAGGTGGTTAAAATCTGACTCCATCATAATTATATGGGTCCAGAAAGTAGGGGAACTACACAAGATCGAAGCCAAATTTATATAAAGTAGAGACCTGTAATGAGCCAATTATTGCAACGCTGTTATTCACTCTGTGGCAACTGTGTATTACACTCTCTTAGAACCCTTTTCACCAACACAGTACTGGGGCCTAATCCAGAGCATATTTCCATTCGTTTTAGCTGCAAACATGAGTGGTGCTAGTGTCGAAAAGCAGGCAACAGCACAGGTCCTTGAAATTTCTGGTTTTAAACCACCAATGTGAACAAGTGTAGCTGGAGCTACCGCAAGAAACTTTCCCCCATTTGCTGGAAATTGTACCAACTTTTGAAATGTGATGCTAGCAACATTTGCCTCTGAAATGCAGGCAAGTTCTCAAAAGGCATCAAGGCTGAACTCTTTCCATCTCACAGCATCCTAATGGAAAAGAGGTGCACAATGCTAGCCCCTTTTAACTGCCCCTTTTCATACAGATGTATCCGATGTAATGCAATAGCAGCTTACTTCATGCTATTCTGGAGGCTTTCTGTTACCACACCTACAAGTTGGCTCATGACAGTGTGTCAGTGAAAGTGTCATGCACCTTTACTGCAGCAGACACAATAAAAGCTGGCAAGGAACGGCTGCAGAGGAATGGAAATACAGCAGCCTGGTGTTTCCCAGAGCTGTGAGGGGAGGGGGGGATTCCTTCATTTCTGCCTGCCAAAACACACACACACACCCACCTACACACACACACACATACACCTATACACACACAGCTGAAGTAAGTAATGCATCGCTCTGACAAGGCCTGACAAAATAGTGTTTACTTTAAAAAAAGTTTTCAGTACCAGTCTTCATCTGTGCAGTGCAAACTCGCTTTGGAGAGCAGGCAGAAATATTCATTTACAGCGTTAGACGTTAAGAAAAGTCCCCCTCAGTAAACTCGCGACCATATGGTGCAAACAAACTGTAAGCAACTCTACAATTTCGCCGCTGTTTTAATCTGTCTTCATCGCATCTGTAACTTTCTCTTGATAAATGAGTGCGGCTACAGCAGATTCAAACAGAAGGGTTTCGAAAGACTTTGCATCTTTTCGCACAAACAGCAGCAACCTGTCTTCACCTGATAACTGTGGGAAAAAAGTTGCTGCAACACCGCATTCAGACACGGAACAAACGTGAACACCGGAGAAAGTTTGGAAAAGCTCATCTGTGCTGAGCGACGCGTAAAAGTTCTCAGCGCAACATCCATGGAATTAAGCTCAGCCTGATTTTAACGACGGCGCACAGGCTGGCGACGAAAAGCTGCAAATACTGTTTAAGGAATAAAGCCGGGCAGAGACGCTGCTTTGTGTTACCTTGTAGAGAGCCGCCGGTCCTCTGTGCGCCTCCAAATGTGAACCTTTTGACCATCGACGTGCTGTTGGGACCAAGCAGGCAGGCTGAGGGGGAGGTACAAAAAGTTTCCCTGCTGGAGACTCCGGAGGAGATCCCATCCTGATCCATAATGAAGAGCAGGCTCTGCGGGCATGGGCCCACACAATACAACTGCTAAAGATTTGATTTGGCAGGACAGGTGTTAAAAATAACAAGTTGTTATTACAGTAATTAAAGAGTGAATTAAAACCGTGCCTATAAAGCAGACACAGGGCTCTTTTCAGGAGGACAATGCCCCTGGACTTGTTTCCAGCCCCCTTTTTCATTTCTATATTGAGGAGACTGACAAAAGTCTCACATTGACAGGTGACAAAGTAAAGTAAAGTAAAAACCTAAACCACTGAGGCCTACAGTGAGGGCTGCTCTGGTTCTGGTTATGCTGCCATGGTTTGGATCCTTGTCCTCTTACAGGGAAGCAAACCAGTCAAAGGCAGTTCTGAATGATCGCTTTTATTCTTGTATGAAGCATCTGATTTCTTCGAGGATGACATGCATAGAGCACGTAGCATCACCGAATGTTTGACGAGACCTGAAAAAATGTCAGTGTACAGTTTTATATATCATAGAGATGTTATGTCTATAATGTCTTGCTTTTTTTTGCTTTGAGTGCTGACCAATCATATTTGATATTTGGTTATGTGCAGGTAAACAGTCAACATAAAGAGCAAAAACAGTTGACTGCATTGGCATAAATACAACCTGGAAGCCATCAGCGTTAGGAGAATGACACACAGGAAATGGTCCAGAGATGAATCAAACCCAGGCCCCTGCAGCATTTCATCAGGTGAGCTGAACCAACTGAGGTGCAGTGGCACCCGGGCAGAGGAAAGCACTGTTTTGGAAACAGGTTTGTGTCTGATTAAACCTAACAAAAGAGTGTTTTAACATTCAGACAGGCTATATGTACCCACACAGATTTGTTATGGGTCGTTCCAGAGGTTTAACTGATCAGATAAAGCTTCATAATCAAGACACTGAGAAAAAGATTGATGCGTTCATGTTGTTCGGTAAAGGGCTGTAAAGAGCCCAGCAGTAATTACAGTCCTGTCCCCCTGTCTACCTGCCTGCATGGCATCTTTTAGGTCGTTCTCTTTAACAATTTATTTTCACACTTTTTCTTCTTCTAAGGCAAAAAAAGCACTCGAGTACATGTAGTAGATCACAGTTCACACATCACTGTTGCTGCAAACTGTCTTCAGGTCCGTTGTATGGTTGGTTTGCTGCAAATTCAAGCTGATATATGTTCAATTCACCAATAAACAGTCTGTAAGCGGCTCACAGTACAACATTAAACCATCTGGGTGGGTTTTAGGGTGTGGATTCTGTGGATAAAACTTGTTCCACACGACATTTCCTGGGAAAAAGTTGGATTAATGCCTTGGACTCTTTGGTGAGTTCCTCAAGATGTTCCTGAGCAGTGTTTGGGAATGCTGCTGCTGTCAGAGAGTGTCGTGGAGTGCATGTGTATTACAGGATAACATTGTCTCTAACGAGATGATCGTTTTTATTGATATTATATTCATATTCTTTTTATTCAAAAGCATCTCTCAGCAGTTTCTATCTTGTTTTGTGGTCTTCTAATGAGGACGCACCGCTGCTAAAAGCTACTGATGTGTTTAGTGACCAAAGATGATTTAGTATAGTCGGTTCGTGTTGAGAACTTGTTGTTACACATCTGTTTTCTGTTGTTTGTCAAGAAATATAGAGTGGTGGCTTGTAATTTCTGCTAATTGTAGTGTTTATGTTAACCTCTTGACATCTACCAGATCACTGGGATGGGGAGGGTTGGGTTGTTGTTTAACAACATGCTAAACAAATATAGTTTTAGAAACTTAAAGATCAAACTTGTTCAACTTCCTTACTCTGTGTTGTAATATTGCCTTCTGGTATACCAAATATGGGTGGAGTTTCCAGAAACCCATTGGAAATTTCTCAAAATGTCCCTTTTGTGGAGATCAAGAATTTTGGCAAATGTACAAAATGATTATTTCCTAATATTCCACATATACCAGAGTCATCATCTACTTTGACAGGAAGGTGCTGAACTGAATGCATTCTGCTATCTTTCTCCTCTCATAGCTTGCTTTGTGCAGTAAAATATTATATGAGCAGTGCAACTGTGTTTCTGGACTCCCTCATTTTTCCTTCAGAGCCATGTTGTTGGTCCCCAGAGTAAACTTAAGCCTCTGTCCACTGCTGCATCTTGAAGGGTCTCGCATGTACCTCTTAAATTGAAGGCTGTAACCTTGGTTAAACAAGAACCGTGTGCTCACTTCATAACTCATGATGCTGTCTGTCTCCCGCCAGTTGCACATCATTCATGACACAAGGCCATGAGCTATCTTGACTGCACACAATGGACCAATCTCCTTCAAACACAAGTCTGTTTTGGATTACCTGTCTGAGTACACGACTCCCTGGAGGCATAAATATACATGTAATCCATCTGAGCGTGTCTCTGCATTCACACATGTTAAAGAACTAACTTAGCTTTAGCCAATTTTCATATGTTCTCAGGGAGCATGACCCTTAAACAGCAACTGGGATAAAGCTAAGCAAGTTTACAGCTAGGCCTATCTTGTGTCTTTTATTTGAAGTATCCCTCTTGGGCGTCATTTTAAATTTATCATAAATTAGGAGTGTGGGTTCAAAGAGCACAGGGAGACCAAGTGTTTGGGTGGAAATGTGGCATGCATGACATTTGAATGGACTCACTCATCATGCTGCAGCATCGTAAGTCTGGACGACACCCAGCAGCTCATATAAAAGTCCTAATGAGGAACTGTCAGGGCCTGAGGTGAAGTGGTGTGATAAACACATCGGCCCTGATCGCAGATAAGGCCGCTGCCAGGGGAGTGGGCCTGCTTTCAAGTGGAGATGAAAGATGAGGTAAAACAATAGATTCAGAGTGTTCAGAGCTGGGTCAGTGGAAGGACATGTCAAAACTTGCTAGTAGGTCTACTTTAAAAAAAATAAAATCTGCTGTACCCTGGCCCAGCTGTCTTGTTTTTCCACATATAAAAATAGATTTGTCTGTGCCACTCCTTTGAGTTAAATGCAGCTTTGTGTGATGTCGTACAGATGACACAGTGTACGATAACAAGATGAAAAACAGAGCTTGCCATGGTGTAGAGAACAAACTTGGGTTTTGCATGGACATAACAAGATCAGGCTAAGCCTGCTATAAAACACTGAGTGGGACTTCAAAACACATGAGTGAGATTTGTAGAAGCCCAGTGTGATGTCCAGGCAACGCAGCCAGACACAGACGAGCCTTTAGAAAGGCTGGAGCTGAGGCTCAGACAGACATACTTCACATGTGGGGTGACTCGTGAGCATCTGGCTCAGGGTTTGCTGGTGTCCTTGTTGTATGGTTTAGTGATCACATGGGGGCCAAACTGTTAGAACCAAAGGTTAAAATGACCCAGGATGATGTGGAATAGCAGGTTTAGTGCATAATTCCTTGTTGAATCCTTGCACTTCCCTGTATGATACTCACATAACTTTCAAAAGTAGATTTTTATTGATATTTCCGATAAAGTACAGAGACGTGATTGTACGTCACTTGTTTATTTCAATTATCAATAGCTTATTTTTCATATACTGCAGCCTGTCACTGCTTTTAGTTAATGGTGCTACTCCAGAAATACCCTTTTTTGTCTTTCTCCTCATAAAAAGTCAATAAAGTTGTGACGTTAATGCTGCTGTTAACGTGGGATCGCTTCACTCTCGGAGGTCTAGAAAGACACGAGAAAAACAGGAGAGGAGAGGAAAATGAGAAACTGTCTTCAAAGAAGAAGAAACGTGACATTCAAAGAAGAAGAAACGTGACATTCAAAGAAGAAGAAACATGACATTCAAAGAAGAAGAAACATGACATTCATAGAAGAAGAAACGTGACATTCAAAGAATTCTCAAAATGAAATTAATGAAGAATTCTATCATTCTAAAAGTGGCAGCCTGTCACCAAAGAGCCAATAAACAGCTCAAACAGGAAACACATGAACTCTCTAGTGGGCTGACGTGGAATGTGTAGCAGCAGGCATATCTGCTACAACATGAATTTAGATTTGTTCCGCTGTCTGGTGGGAGACACCAAAGATGTTGCTCCTGTTAGTGTGTCTTTTGTCATGTCTCCCTCCCATCACCTCCAACTGGTTCCAACAGTTGGCTGCCCCTCCCTGAGCTTGGTTCTGCCAGAGGTTTCTTCCTGTTAAAAAGATGTTTTTCCTTCCCACTGTCACCAAGTTCTCGCTCAAAGGGGTGCGTCTGATTGTTGGGGTTTTCTTTGTATTATTGTCGAGTCTTTACTTGACAATATAAATCACCTAGAGGTGACTGTTGTTGTTATTCGGTGCTATATAAAAAACTGAATTGAATTAAATTTAGTGCCATTTTGTTCCTACACCCGCTAATTGTGTTGTTTAATCACCATGAAGCCACATTTAGTGAAAAGCAAACAAAGCATATCTGCACAAACACCTCATAACAACTATCAAGCATGGTGGGTGGTGGGTGGTGGAGGGATGATGATTGGGGCTTGTTTTGTTGTCACAGGACCTGCGTATCCTGTAAACACCTTTGTATACTAAATCTTTCTAGAGGCAAAGCTTGACTCAGCCAGACTCATGCAAGAGGACAATAATCTAACGCTCACCAGCAAATCTGCAAGTTATTGTTATTTCTTGTACAAGGTGTTGAAGCATGGGGCACATTTACACAGTTTCAGCATTTTGGCCTCATTTTTATTGAATAAATAATTAATTTCAGTTCAATTTAATCAAAGCGCTTAAGCACACCGCACACATATCAGCACACATATGTGTTGCTGAGGTTGTGAATAAATAATCATTTTAGAACCTGGTCAGGACCAGATGTTATGATGACGATGATGATGAGTAATAACAATAATAATAATATTATATTGTCTTTTAGTTTGCTTCTTTGGCTACACATGACTCCCTATTATTGCCTTTTCAAAATTTTAATTGCGAAATGCACAAGCT